AAGGAATTAATAATTTAGCCTAGAAAGCTGACAGCCTTTATTGGGGAGCCCCTTGTCTGCAGGTCAGAAATCAGAGCAAGTGCTGTCTTGAAATCACAGGTCCCTTTACTGTTCCAGTTTTACAGCTTAATTGGCCCCCAAACATAAATCACTTATTTCTCCTACTTTGGGCAACAATGACCTCTTTTCTCTATTTTCCTTGTACCAAGGCAGCCCTTGTTCTTTTGAGTTTTACAACTACATGGTAAACAAGGTAGCTGAGGGGAAAACTCAGGGAACAGAGCAGACTGGGGTTACTTGGACATAGCACAGAAAGGTTATGGTGTTTTGAACTTCTCTCGACCTCTGGCTGCCCCTGTACACAGTTTATGCTAAGGGCACAGTATATGGCACTTGTAGAAATGAACTTAGCCTGAACCTAGGCCATAACATTGGACTCCAGGAAGCCCAGAACTTGTTGGGAGGAGCCAGAATGTGAACAGAAGCTCATATTTGAAGCATGCTGCCCATCTGCTCTACAAGAAAAGGTAACCTGGTAGATAAAAATCTTCCCTTAAGTAATTCCAACATAATTCCACCTGCTGTATCAAATCTACTACCTACAACCACTACCGAGCACAATTGGAAATTAGCTGCAAAGGTGTTCCTGTCACAAAATAAACAGGAACAGGCTTTTCCCACTAGGAATTTGCAGTGGGAAGACATTAGGATCTCTAAATTCCAAAGATACAATGAAGAAAACGCTCTATTATATTCAATTTAATGTGTAAAAATACTAATATGGAAGCTATTATTGCTTCTTGTCAGAATACACAGAAATGCAAAAAGAATAATGAAGGATCTAGCAAGACAGCTCAGATGCTGCTTCCTAGTCTTGCAGAGGACCTGAGCTCCACATACAGCAGGTGTGAGGTGACAACAACTCTAGCTGCTCCAAGGGATCCAACACCCTCTTGGCCCTCATGGTCACCTATGGTCACATGCAGATATACACAGGTGCATATAATATACATATATATAACATATATGTATACATATAATTAAAAATAAAAATAAAGGGTAGAAAGATGGCTCAGCCATCTAAATCTTAAATCACTATAATCAATACCATCACTATCATAACCACGACCATTATCATTAGGCTTAGCCTGGTAGAATACACCTATAATCTAGGCATTCAAGAGGAGGTGGAAGGATTACTTTGGGTCTGAGGCCAGAATGGACTATTAGTGAATTCAAGACAGTCCAGATTACAGAGGGAGATCCTGTCTTTAAAAAAGCAAACCATCAAAATCTAATACAATTTGTACAGCCCGCATCAGTCTTACAGCTTCCTATAATTTGAGAGAGTTAAGTTTGTGCACACTCAAACTCCAACACTAATATAGACTGAGATCAGAAATTTTATTTTTGTCAACCCATTATTATAATAATCATAGCCTTACATGTTCCTGCAAAGACATAGGACAAAATTAAAGTACTAAGCTCACAAAAGTGATGTAGGAACTGAGACTATTATCCACATATACTAAGTAAGTACAATTTTAAAAAGAAAAGCGATTTTTGCTGACTCCCATTCTATAGTAATATATAAAATCATGTTTACTTTCACATAATGGAGAAGTCTGTAAATCACCATATTCAGTAAAGGAGCTCATGTAATCAAGGCTTTTCTCAACAAATGGCATGAGGTACTTGCAGTAAATATACAAATAAGAATACAGAATTAGATGCCACTTGCTAAATTCAAGGTTTGAAAACTATCTTTCCAAATACTTCCAATATATTGCTAATGTGTGAAGGTAAGAACTGTACTTAGTCATTTGTGCAGTCTAAGGCTAAGAACTGAGCCTGGAGCAAAGAAAAAACACAGTGTTTCACTTAGTTTTCAATTATTTGGTGTATTTTCTGTATTGTTACATGAAACACTGCTTACAAATTATCAGTGCCTTCCTAGTAATAAAAATGCTTCCATAACAGGACCATAGCTTAAGAAAACCACTGAGTTTACCTTTTCCTCCTCCAAGGCTAATTATAAGAGAATGACAAGACAACACATTGTATTAACCCTCAGCTACTGTGCTGATACACAGTCTGTAGTCATAATATAAAACTGATTCTGAATTCTGTGAATTTCAAAAGCCACATCTAAAACTGCTAAGATGACTCAGTGGGGTAAGATCTCTGCTGCCAAACATCCTACATTTGATTCCTAGAATACACATGGTAAAAGGAGAGAACTAACTCTCATAAGTTATCCTCTGACTTTCCACATGTAAGTTGTGGTATGCACATGCCCCCTACATACACAAGTAAGTTTTTTTTTTTCTAAAGCAAATCTAATTTCCTGGCATTTGATAAGTATCATGGATTTATTCTGTTTGGCAATATAGTACTAGCTGAACATGCATGAATATTTATCTTAAGGTATATGGGGAAAATACATGAGAAAGCCCATCTTCTCAGGGATGATATTAACCAGTGAGTAAAGATAAGCTTCATCACTTACCTAATAACATAATGATTAGTTAGCCCCATGACTCTTTAAAACTCCTAGAACCAGAATTTTAAATCTAAATTAACATTTGAGCTTTTAGCATTATAGCAAAATAGGGTCAGTCCACAGTAGACATACTCATGTCTATTTCTCTAACAACTGTAACTATGTCCCAGAGTATTTCATACAATCGTGTGGGAGAACAGGAAATTTAAATGACTATGATTAAGACTTCCAGAGTAGGCTGGGCTGTGGTGGCGCACGCCTTTAATCCCAGCACTTGGGAGGCAGAGGCAGGCGGATTTCTGAGTTCAAGGCCAGCCTGGTCTACAGAGTGAGTTCCAGGACAGTCGGGGCTACACAGAGAAACCCTGTCTCGAAAAACCAAAAAAAAATAAAAAATAAAAATAAAAAAAAAGACTTCCATAGTCTTGAAAGACATCATTTAACTAGATTTTGAAACAGTCACTCTTATACCTTAATCTTAATAACATAGATGCAAATGCTTTACAAATTAAACTGGCACAAAGATTATCAATTATAAACTTATAAACATAAGCATAAAGCTGAGCGTGGCAGCACACATGTCTAGTTCCAGCACTCAGGGAACACAAACAGGAGAGTGGGGAATTCAAAGTCATCACGGAGCTTGACGCTAGCCTGAACTATAAGACCCTGTCTCAAAGAAAAAGGAAATATCAAGAAATGAGGGGTAGTTTGGCATGGTGGTGCACACCTTTAATCCCAGCACTTGGGAGGCAGAGACAGGTGGATCTCTGTGAGTTTGAGGCCAGCCTGGTCTACAAAGTGAGCTGTTACACAGAGAAATCCTGTCTCAGAAAAGAAAAAAACAAGAGAAAGAAAGAAAGAAAGAAAGAAAGAAAGAAAGAAAGAAAGAAAGAAAGGAAGGAAGGAAGGAAGGAAGGAAGGAAGGAAGGAAGGAAGGAAGGAAGGAAGGAAAGAAGCAAGAAAGAAAGAGGGGGGAGGGGAGGGGGAGGGGAGGGGGGAGGGGAGGGGAGGGGAGGACGGACAGATGGAGAAATGAGAATATTGGAGAAAAGGTTCAATGAGTAAAGTATTTGTTGCACAGCATGCTGAGTTTGGCTCCCTAACATCCATGTAAAAGTCAAGCATGTGGATGTGTGCCCATAACCTCAGCACTGAGAAATGAGAGACAGATCTTTAAAGCTTGATTCAGGATTAGTAAGAAATCCTGCCTAATAATAATAACAACAACAAAAACAACAACAGCAGCAAATAGAGGACACAACAATAACAATAGCAGCAGCAAATAGAGGAGAATACACAAATGGCCTCCAAGTGCGCATACACAAACACACACACACATAAACACACACATGCACACATACATGAAGAAGGAAGGGATGCAGAGAAGGGAAAGGACAGGAAGGAGGGAGAAAAATTAAGGGGAAGGATGGAGAAAGAGAAGGAAAGGAAGAGAAGGGATGAGAGGAGAAAAGAGAGGAAGGAGAGAGAAGAGAACAAGGACAGAAAGGGGAAGGGAGGCAGGGGAAGGAAGAAGAGAAGGGACAAGGAGAGGGGAGGAGAGGGGACAGGTAACAAATCTATAAGCATATTCATGAGGATATTTCTAGAGGGCTTTAACGCAGACAGTAAACTAACCCTTAACAGAGGCAGACTCATCCTATGGACTGGGATCCCAAACTCAATAAAATGTACAAAAAGCACTGAGCACCGGCATTCATGTCTCATCCCCTCCCTGAATACAGACACAAATATGACCGCTCCACATTCCTCCTGCAGGAACTAGATGTGCTCTAGCTGCCATGTCTCCCTGCCGTGATGAACTATACCCTAAATTATGAGCACAAATAAACCCATCTCTCAATAAGTTTCTTTTGTTGGGTATTTAGTTACAGCAATGAGAAAAATAAGCAATTTAACTTCTTTGAATAAACTGTGAAAAGTAATGTAAACATTTTTGCCAGATTTAGTGGCAAGGGCAGATGGACCTCTGTGAGTTTAAGGCCAGCCTGGTTTACATAGTGAGTTCCAGGACTGGCAGGGCTACATAGAAAGACCTTGTCTCGAAAACAGAAAAATGAATGGATGAAAGAGAGAGAGAATGGGGAGAGTAGGAGGAGGAGGGAGAGGAGAAAGAAGAAAGAAACAAGGAAAGAGAAAAACTGAATATATGGTTGTGTATGTACATAAATCCAACATTGTTTATTACTGGAAGATGGAGAACTGAGCAAGGGTCATTTTAAACAAAAATTTTCAGCAAACAATCTTCTATTAAAAGGACAGACCTGGCCATCAAACAATACTAGTGAATAAAAGAAAAAAAAATCTCAGTAGAAAAGACAGACTATCAGTCTTATCATTGTTATGAGAAGATTCAATGTGAGGGCTATTCAAATAAATGTATCAAACATACCTTAAGTTTGACATATGTAAATGCAGTCACACTTTTTCTTACCAAAAAACAGTGGGTAAACACTGGGTAACATTTAGAACTTACTAGTGCCTGGATCAAGCTCTGCCAATTCATCCTGACAGAAACCTAAAGAGAGAACAATAGGGGGAAAAACAATTATTATTTTTAAATTACTCCAAGCTGACTCTAAATACTTAAAATTAAATATTATTCAATGGGGGGGGATTCAGAGTTCAGGCTAGGATATGACTCAGTTCTTGCTGAAAATGAACAAAATACTGGGTTCAGTTTCCAGTAACACTCCCACATGGGTTTAAATCCTAGTTCTAATAATTAACTACTGTAAGGACCCCATCTCTGGGTTTCCGTTCATCATCTAAATATAGAAATGGAGATAAGAGCGTGTACCAGAGTTGTGCCAGGAGTAAGAGAGTTTAGAAATATTCCTTAGCACATAGTAGGAGCTCAATAAACAATAGCACAGTAAGTATAAATAAGACTGCCAATGTCTGCCCGGGCAGTGGTGGCACACGCCTTTAATACCAGCACTTGGGAGGCAGAGGCAGGTGGATTTCTGAGTTCGAGGCCAGCCTGGTCTACAGAGTGAGTTCCAGGACAGCCAGGACTACACAGAGAAACGCTGTCCCGAAAAACCAAAAAAAAAAAAAAAAAAAAAAAAAAAGCCAATGTTGATTACAATAAAAACTAATAGGAAAGTTAAATCTCATTTAATATTTATGTTTTTTATTTAACGGTATCAATTATATCCCAAAAGAAAGTAAAATAAACAAAACAAGAATTTACAACAAATATACAAGATGAGTTTACCAAAGATTATCACCAATTAGGACTAAGGATAAAACTCAGTTGTTACTGTGCTTGCTTAGTTTACATGATGCTCTCAGTTTGACCTCTGAAATTGTATGAACTAGGCAGGGTGGTATATGTCTACAATCTCAGTGTAAATGTAAATGTCTCTTATTTCCTCAGATGAAGGGATGAGATGAGAGAGATACCCAAGCCCTGTGAATACAAGGCCTGGGCTGAACCTAGTGTGTTTCTCTGCACTAACTATCCCTAGGCCTAGACCTGGAAGCTTCTAGCCTCCTTATAATCTAACCTTCCAAGATGACTGATTCAATCTGGCTTCTCTTGGCTTCTGACTGAATTATTCTGCTTGGCCTGATATATACCTTGGCAATATGTTCTAATTTTCTGGCTCCTTCTCATTCTCTGGCTCCTTCTGTCTTCAACTGTGTCTATCTCATTCTCTCTCTGTAAAACTACCCTGACCAAACACCTGCCATATGCCCTGCCATATACACACCACACTCCCCCCTACACACACACACTCTTCCTTACTCTTTTTTTTTTTTTTGGTTTTTCGAGACAGGGTTTCTCTGTGTAGCCCTGGCTGTCCTGGAACTCACTCTGTAGACCAGGCTAGCCTCGAACTCTCGAACTCAGAAATCCGCCTGCCTCTGCCTCCCAAGTGCTGGGATTAAAGGCGTGCGCCACCACCGCCCGGCTTCTTCCTTACTCTTAAGTAGCCTCTCTTCCTCTGTTGTTCTCCTGTGAGCTGTATGTATCCTATCTCTAATTCATTCTGCCAAATATTTTTCTGATTTGTTACTTTGTCTGACTCTTAATTAGAGGTCACTTAAAAACATGGCTGCTTCCTTCTACAAACTGAGCTTCATTGTTAGGTTTTAAAGGATATGTTTATATTCCAGCCAGATCATACTATAGTATGATTCAGGGCATGTTTATATTCTAGCCAGATCGTATCTTTGGATGTGATCTCTTGCCAAAGCAGCCATATCGCTGGATTAAAATTTCTCTATACCCCAGAACTCAGTAGGTAGACACAGGAGAACCAGCAATTTAAGGTTATCTTCAATAATATAGCAAATACAAGGTCAGCCTGGAATATATGAGATCCAGTCTCAAAACAAAACCCTCAACAAACTTTACCTACACACAAATAAAACTAATTCATCCATTACTAAGTATGCTTATCCTATGCTTGCTCACAAGCTTGCTATGCCTAGCAAGAATAAAACCCTGGATTCAATTCCCAGAACCAACAAAATAAGCATTAGAATTAACATCACAAAAGACATTTCATATTAATAACACCTGTCCTTTGTATCAGCTTGGTGTGTTACTAATACTCTATGGGGGGAAAAAAGCATAAATCAAGCATATTAAGTGGCAAACACAGTGAGTCCTTTGAACACACTTGATGAAATTTATTTTTCAAACAATGACTACCTTTCTCTTCATTAGCTTCTTTTATTTATTTATTTATTTATTTATTTATTTATTTATTTATTAGTTTTTTCGAGACAGGGTTTCTCTGTGTAGCCCCGGCTGTCCTGGAACTCACTCTGTAGACCAGGCTGGCCTCGAACTCAGAAATCCACCTGCCTCTGCTTCCCAAGTGCTGGGATTAAAGGCGTGCGCCACCACTGCCCGGCTCTTCATTAGCTTCTACTCATCTTAAAATATTTCCTCAGAAAAGTGTTCTCTAGTATCCTTAACTGTTGACTCTCATATACAAGGTCAAAATTATAGTTAAAACTATCTATAATACTTGTAGCTGTTTCTCCACTGTCCTTATTGTGGGGGTCTGGAAATTGCTGCACAAACCACTCAGACACCCATCTCAGTCAAACAGGACTGGTTTACTGAATGCACACCCCAAGACTGATAGAACAGGGGACGCAGTCTAGACCCAGGAGTTGAACTGCAACCAAAAACCAGGATTCTACAGAGCTTTTAAGCCTGAAATCCACAAACCCAAGGGATAGGAGACTTCTTTAGGAATATGTCCTTGTACATTTATCCTGTCCCTGTTGGTTGGGTTATTCAACTGTGGTGACGGACTTTCCTTGCCTAACATTCATGTCTTAACTTGACAACCAGGATTTCAGTTACCCACATACATGTCTGTTTCTGCTAAGTAGGATGTCAATTCCCAGGGATGTCTTGGAAACTTAAAACTTTATTCAATCCCTACTCAAAATGGAAGTCTCATTCCAAATGGCTTCTAATATTGGAACAGGTATCTCTTTCATGTTGGGGTCCATCCCAGGGGCAGCTTGTCATACACGGGTGCAGGAAGTGCTACTGGGTGACTGGTTTGGGTCTAAGCTTATTGTGGCTAACTGAACAAAACATAACTGACTTCTATTGTGATTGGTTTCCAAGAACAACCATAACACAGAACATAACAGAATATGCAATCATTGGGCATGAGAAAGTTTCCTAGTAACAGTGGTTACACCATATGGGAAAGTAGCAGTTCAAAATGGCTGGTTAGACAGACAGGCATCCATTTCCCAGGTCTTAACACATATCATCATAAAATTATTCGTTTAATGTGTGACTCTGGGCTGGAGAGATGGCTCAGTGGTTAAGAGCATTGACTGCTTCTTCCAGAGGTCCTGAGTTCAATTCCCAGCAAACTACATGGTAGCTCATAACCATCTGTAATGGGATCTGATACCCTCTTCTGTTGTGTCTGAAGACAGCTACAGTATATTCATAAACATAAAATAAAGAAACAAATATTTAATGTGTGACTCCACTATTAGACTGTTCCCCGGGAACAGGGGGCCTGCCCTGTTCTGTTCATATGTATTCCTTTACCTTTCACAAACCTAAAACACAGCTAGTCAATAAACATCAACTGTAGTAACAACAAATACAAAAATAATGGAGCAAAACTCAGGGTAAAACATACATACAAAAACTTCATGTCATCAAAGCTGGACAACTCAAGGCAAACTGGCAACTCAGAGACATATGGAACAAGAATTCAAGTAGTAAGTGAACTGGTTAAAGCCCTAAGTCAGATGTGGTGGCTCCTACTGGCAATCCCCACACTCAGGAGACTAAGGCAGGAAGATCAACACCAGTTGAAGGCCAGATAGGTCTCTCTCCTTTTTTCCCCATCTCCCACCACCACCTGAGCTAGTACCACTACACACCAAACATGCTATATCACATCATTTCTTGCCTCACTACTGGCAGCCGCCGCCGCCTCTGCCGCCGCCGCCTCCACCACCACCACCACCACCACCACCTCCCTCCTCCCACACAGTCTCTCTCAGTTAAAATAACAAAATCAAGGTCCAGCTCAAATCGCAACAGAAAAGATTTTTCCATATTTATGAAATAAACCATATATGGTTTAAATGTCTCTCTCACTAGGTAACAAACTCCTCAAATGTAGGGACTATGTTTTAGACAATGAAACTGCTTCTATTCCTAGAAATTATGGAACATACTCAAACCCAAGATGATCTAAACAGAAATGCAAAGAGACTGTTGCTCCAATCTAGGTAGGAAAGTCGTAAAATCATAGCATCTACATCTAGCTTGTACAGTGTGGGAGGTCTGCAGGAGACTGAACCTCAAACGGAATTCTGAAGCCACTGAAAAGTAGGAGCCTGGGACGGCCACTTACAGTGTCTACAACACTTCAAGTACCAGCAGTGGGGTCTGGAACAGTTGTAGTGAGATACTAGTGTCTAAGTCCACAGACTGCTTCTAAATAACAGAATTTATTTCTCATAGTTATAGAGGCTAGGATTCAACAGATTCAGTGTCTAGTAAAAGCCAGCCTTCTGGTTCACAGGTTACACCTTGTTGGTCTTCACATGTAAAAGAGATATAAATGAGCTCTCTTATAGGTTCTCTCTTATACAGACACTAAGAGCCCTGTAACCTAACTACCTCATCTGGGGGTTAGGATTTCAACATAGAATGTTGGAGGGACACAAACCTTCAGACCACAGCATTAGGCAATAAAGAAATAACCATTTCTATATACAGGCTACAGAACATACCAGAATACTAAATGTAACAGAAGACAAAGCATACTCATTTGCTTATTAATCTATATTGCCCTGAAAATACGATGAGTGCAGGAAGACATAGAGGTATAAGGATAAAAGCCATTTTAGTTATATGACTTGGCAAGGGGAGGCAAGTAAACTGAGTTGAGGCTTCAGGTTTTCATCAGGTAAAAAGCGTGCATAAGAGGTATCAAGAAAGGATCAAGCAGGGCTGAAGAGACGGTTTAGCTGTTAAGAGAACTGGCTGTTCTTCCTGAATTC